CTTCCTCTTCTCACAATAGAACAATTACACTCCATTTTGTTTTCTTTAAAACGCAATAAATCTCCTGGTGTTGATACAATTCGTATTAATGATCTCTGCCGAAACTTTGGACATGTTCAGCAGGTACTTCTCACCATAATAAATCAGTTCTTGACCTCTGGCGTCATTCCAATTGAACTCAAAACAGCACTTGTGAAGCCTGTTTTCAAGGGAGGATCGCCTAACAAGCCTGAGTGCTATCGCCCTATTTCTATATTACCTTGCATTGGAGAAATTTTGGAAAAGCATTTGTATCTTGTAATGTCCAGCTTCATTGAAACTCACAACATCCTGTCGCCTAACCAGTATGGTTTTGTTGCTGGAAAGGGCACTCAACCACTGCTGGAAGATTTTTCTGACCTACTACACAGTGCTTTTGATCGAAACTTATGTTCATGTGCAATTTTTCTTGATGTCGCCAAGGCCTTTGACACGGTCAGTCATAAGATGCTTCTTTTTAAACTGCAGAATTACGGTTTCCGTGGACCATTTATTGCATTGCTTAAAAATTTCTTTCTTGACCGCTCCCAAATCGTATCTATAGGAAATTTCAAAAGTGCTCGGCTGATGCTAAAAGCCGGTGTGCCCCAGGGATCGGTTTTGTCTCCATTGTTATTTAATCTTTTTGTTAATGATATCTCAACAAGGCTCACTAGTTGCAAAATTTTTCAGTAGGCGGATGATACTTTACTTGTCTCTAGTCACATTAATTACCGCCAAGCTGTGCAGTTATTGCAACATGATTCTGCACGTCTAATGGACTGGTTTTATGACAATTATATTACTATTAACACATCCAAAACCAGACTTGTTTGCTTCAGGAATCCGCTGAAGAGTGTAGAATTGGACTCATCATTTATGTTACACAGATCCAGCTGCCTTGATTGTACATGTAGCTCCCTCAAATATGTTGACACTGTTAAGTACTTAGGCATATTCTTTGATTCAGATTTGTCGTGGTCAACGCATTTAACCCATGTTTCTGGCAAGCTTCGCAGTGTGTGCTGCTTACTTTACAATAATAGGGTGTTTATGCCATTTGCCGTTAGAAAATCAATTGCTACTGCTCTCGCTTATAGTATACTAAGGTATGGCATCACATTATTTGGTAACTGTGCAGAAATAGGTCAAACTAAAATTGACCGCATCCTTAGGAATTTGTTAAGAAGTGTTGGTTATCATTATGATCTTGCACCAGAAGCTGACATTTTTGAGGCTCTACAACTACCTAACTTCCATTCACTTTTTTTGCAATGTGTTGTTCTTTCTCATTTCTGGTGTAGCGAATTTAAACATCCCTTTGTGCCCCGCAGAGATTTGCGTACCTGTGATCGCTTCATAATCCCCCGGTGTTTCACAAGATATGGTAAGCGAGAGCGCTCTTATTATGTGCCATACATTTTTAACCGACTCCCCGACCACTTCTTTGAAGCTACAAATAGGAGAAAATTGAAAAATCTATTGAACAGTTTTACGCTTTAATTCATTGTACAATTTCAATAGTGTATTGTTGTGTTATATGTTGTATCTAATATGTTTGCTGGGATATTGTGAGTGATTATTTTCTGTTTCTCACATAGTGCGATACATGTTTTAAATGTGTGCTCTACGGACTTCTTCTATGCTATGTGTGACATTCCATTAGCTGGGTTCTGTCCTTCAAGCCTCTACTGGCTTCGACCGACCCGTCACCTTGTAGTGTTATGAAGGTATCTAAATAAATGAAATGAGAAAATGAAAAATTGATTTACGCAGGATGTATTCTGGACTGCACTAGGCAGGTTCGTTGAAGCCAGCAGGGCTTGTAGGACTGAACCTAAGTAGCAGTGGTAAATAAGGGAGTTTCGGAATAATAATAATAATAATAGTGTTTATTTTATGCCCCCAGAAAGCCACGCCGGTCTCCACATTGGCGGACACAGGACAAAAAGAAAAAACACAGCACACGCACAGTATCAAATGTATATACGCACAGTATCAAATGTATAGATGTCTACAAATAGTAGGCGCACTTCAAAGACAAAGTACTACAAAGTTTCAACTTTCAACTAGACTTCTCAAGTCCCGGCGAAAAACTGAGGGATTCGTGAAAATATCCAAGCAAGACGATTCGATTCTATTAAACGAAAGTTTCATACGAGACAGTGGTGAAAGTGTAGACATGAAATGCACGTAAAATACTGTAAAATATCTGGTTACGCGACAAGAAACATAAAAATCGGCAGAACTCAGAAGTAGTTTACGATGAGGGGAGAGGGATATTAAAGACAAACAGGCAAGACCACTGTGTTGTCTGCTTGTCTTCAACGTTCCTCTTTCCTCGTCGTAAATTAAAAACCAACACGCTAAACCATCTACCTCAAAAGTAGGTTAGCATCAATCCAACCATTTGCCGTCTTGTGCACACACACACAAAAAAAAAATGACGCTCGATTTTTTTTTTAGTTGACAAAGGCCTAAGTAAAACAATATTAAGAATAAATTAATAATCATAATAAAAGCACGCTAAAAGAGTTTGTCGCTTAAAATTCGTATCACATTTTTTTTTTTCACATTTAAATATTTTGAGATTGTGAACGCGCTAAAGAATTCGAAACCACTCAAGCTAATTCAAGCTGTGAACGAATTCAAACACAAAATGAACGAATCATCCAAGCAGCGTGTCTATACGTTTATTTATTTTTATTTATTTGTATTTATTTACCCTCAAGGCCCCGAAGGGCATTACAGAGGGGAGTGGGGGGGGGGGGGGATTAGGTGACAGGGTACAGTTGTTGATACATGAAATATGATACAGTAATTAATGCACGCTTGCTTAGACACTTCAAAAATATTTACACAATGTTATAACAGTAATAACAACTAGAAAATGGTTAATGAAAACTAACAAACAAGGCATTTTTAAAATCAATAATATTGGTTATGGAGGCTATGTCAGCGGAAAGGCGATTCCAATCGGAGCTAGTACGAGGAACGAAGGAGTTATAATAAGTGTTAGTTTTGTAATTGGGGATACCGACTTTGTACTGGTGATCTACGCGGGATCAAACATAAGTAGGTGGCGTTAGAAGCTCATGGCGCATGAAAGGGTTATTATGGTAAATCTTGCGAAATAAAGTGAGGCGAAAAATGCGTCTACGGTTCATTAGTGTGGGTAAACCAAGGGTATTTTTCATTGAAGTAACACTGGATGTACGATGGTAATTACAGAGTATGAAACGTGCTGCACGATTTTGAACCGATTCCAATGTTTCAATGATAGTATTATGACCGGGGTCCCAGATAGAACATGCATATTCAAGTTTAGTACGTACTAAAGTAGTATATAAAAGGAGTTTTAGTGACACTGGTGACTGTGAAAAATTTCGTTTGAGATATCCAAGCATGCGATTGGCGTTGTTAGTTACGTAGTTAGTGTGAGTTACCCAGGAAAGATCAGAAGTTATGTAAACACCTAAGTATTTGTAAGAGGACACAGACTGCAGCGGAGTGTCGTCAATGTAGTAATTCGAGCATATGTTAGTATGACGGGAAACTCTCATGGATTTACATTTATTAAGATTGAGTTGCATCAACCACTTGTCGCACCAGTCAGATACAGAGTTAAGATCAGATTGGAGAACAGAGGTGTCAGAGTTATTTGTTATTTCTCTATATAGTACACTATCGTCAGCAAATAAACTAATATTAGAGGAGACACATTCAGAGAGATCATTAATGTAGATGAGGAAAAGTAGCGGTCCTAAAACAGAACCCTGGGGAACTCCAGATCCTACGGGAGTCAGTGAAGAGTTAGTACCATTGGCATGCACAAATTGAGAACGGTTGGTTGAAAACGATTCTATCCAGCGTAGCACGTTCGGATCAATATTGAGGTTGCTAAGTTTTAATAGGAGTAGCCGGTGAGAAACTTTATCGAAGGCCTTAGAGAAATCAAGGAAAACGCAGTCTATCTGGGAGCCACGGTCAAGGACAGAATGAAGCTTATTAGTGAAAAGTAGAAGCTGTGTTTCGCAGGAAAATGATTTGCGGAAGCCGTGTTGAGTAGGGTGAAAAAAAGAATTCGATTCTAGGAAACATGCGAGGTTAGAATATATGATATGTTCGAGTATCTTACAAGGAATGGATGTTAGAGAAATTGGCCGGAAGTTATTCGGTGAGGAGTGGTTGCCACTTTTATGAAGTGGAGTCACCTTTCCAACTTTCCAGTCTTCGGGAAGGCAGCCTTCCTCCAATGATTGCTTAAAGATCATTGATAGTATAGCTGATGAATACGATTTCGTGTTCTTTAAGAATTTAGAGTTAATATTGTCAATACCGGATGAAGAGGAGAGCTTCAGGTTATTAATTATTGCAGCTATACCGTCGTATGATATTAATATTGGATTCATTGGAAAAAAGTCAAGGTAATTAAAATTGGGGTACACAGAAACATCGGTGCAAGAAAAAGATTGAATAAATATATCGTTTAGCAATGATGCACACTCATCATGGCCTACTGGTTCCCCATCTGTGTTTGTAAGCTTCAGGTCACCGTGGTTATCATTAGGTTTGATTAAGTTCCAAAAGTGGCGAACATTTGTAGATAAAATTGTGGGCAACGTGTTAGTAAAAAAATTGCGTTTTACTTCTAATACTGCACGTTTATATTCCTGCTCGGCGTAATGATAGGCGTTAAAGTGACTCTCTTGTTTTGAAAGTTTGGCTACACGAAAGAGGCGTTTCTTTTTATTTGAAAGTCGTTTAAGTCTGGTGTTGTACCAAGGGGAATTACTTTTGGATGATAATGTGCGAACAGGAATATATGTGCTTATTAGATAGTTCACTTTGTTTCGGAACAGACACCAATTTTCATCTACAGACCGTTCAAAAAAATTTTCCACAAAATAACTCAGAAATTCACACAATTCAATATTTATAGCCGTAAAATTAGCGTTTCCGTAATCACGAATCGTTTTAACTATTTTCGGGGAATGACTTGTGGTTATATTTAAGGTGAAATGCAGCAATAAATGATCACTAAAACCAGGCAGATAGGTAATAGGAGAAACAAGGTCGGCGAAGGTTGACAATACAAGATCTAGCACTGAGGCACAGGAGGGCGTAATTCTGGTGGGGCGAGACACTAGCTGAGAGAAATTGTAGTCCGAACATAAATTGAGGAATTTGTCACTGTCAGACGAAAAAGGACTTGAGTAAGCTGTTTCCGCCGACCACACAATATTTGGATAGTTAAAATCACCCAGAAGGATGACGTTTGGTGAGGGAGATCGCAAAGTCACTGTACTGATTACGTCATGAAGTTTGTTCAGAAAGCTATCGTCACTTGAGGGAGGGCGGTAACAGGCACCCAAGATATATTTTTTGTGATTCACGGAAAGGCAAACAAAGACTGTTTCGAGATCACTTGCAACATTCAAATGAAGGGAATCTATATGTTCGGCGACTGCAATCAACACACCTCCGCCTTGGCGAGCTTCCCTATCAGTGCGATAAATTTTGAACCGTTTGTTAGTAGTTAGGATTTCGTTATCATGAATTTTGCTAGAGAGCCACGTTTCTGTCAAAACTACAACATCAGCCCCGGTGGAGTCAATGGCAGAGCATAGATCATCGCGATTTCGCATGACACTTCGGATATTAGTAAACAGAACAGTAATTATTTCGGGCGCGAAAGAAGAACCACTACCCCTCGCACTATGTTAGGGCAAGGCAGATCGGGCAGATGCTGCGCGGGCATTTAAGTTTGGTGCCACGTTATTTTGCAACGATGAGGAAGGTTGATTATTATCGCCTCCAGGGCTTCTTGTATTTGAATTGCTCTTGCCCGGCCTTCTGTCATTTCCAACTTCATACACCCTGTCGTTCGCATTTTCATACATGAAACATTTATTGTTCACGTAAAGCTTATTGTAGCGCAGTTGGAAGACGCTCTTTTGTAATCTTCCAAAATCAAAAAGTTTCTGTCTTGCTAGGCGCGTAGCCGGAGAAAAATCTTCATTAGCCGTTATGCCGCAGGCTTTAAGCTTAGGTCGTGATTGCAAAATTGTTTGTTTTGTTTTGAAAGAAGAGAACTTGACAATCAGTGGCCTGCATCCTCCGACTGCGTACGAGCCAAGCCTGTGAGCACGTTCAACGCATTCGTCAGAAACTTGCAGAATAAGTGAAGTAGATAACCTATCTAATATTTTTACTTTAGACTGTTCCCAAGATTCAGAGGTGGAATCTTCAATACCGTGAAAGATAATATTGCTCCTTCTTGAGCGGTCCTCAATATCGTTCAGGCGCTCGTGCAGTCTTTGGTTGTCCTTAATAACAGACTGCATTAATCCCTCGGCAGCCAAGAGTTCTTCCCGGGTTGCATCGAAAGTTGCTACTTTGCACTCAACGCCTTCGAGCCGATTTTGGATGTCGGTAACCTTTAGTTCGACGGATTCTTGCTTACTTTTTAACTCGTTAATAGACTTAATTAGGCTAGCTTGGCCTTGGTCATTCTTGACCGTACGTTCATTTACATCTTGCAAGAGTTTGAACATGTCGTTAAACTGCTTGGCCTGATCGATAGACATAGGTCCCGGATTCGCCTCGACGTCACCGGAGCGTAACAAGACAAGTTTTAATGTATCAGCGGAATGTAGGACAAGCATCGCATGTGTACACAACCAGTAATACAAAGAGCACAAAGAACAAAAAAAGCGCGATGACCGTGGGCACGGTAACTCGAGAAGCCATAGGTTATTACTTCGTCTAGAGTGTATAGAATACTGATATCTTACCTGTACGTAGAACAAGAAAGGGTTCGTCAGCGACATCGCCGCTAACGAGTCACCGTGCCCACTGGCGTAGGCCACACCATGCGCTGCTTTTGTAGCAATTGACGTGGCTGTCGCAGTCGATGGTCGCGCTAGGTGCGGCTGAATCGACGCAGGATTCTCGATGAGGGCGACGTCCTCCAAGGCCGGTGAAGATGGGCACTTCCATAGGATGACGCTTGATATCCGAGCTCTGTCAGCGCTGGTGCAGGCACGCGTTCCGCGATGTGATGGCGAGACAACGAACGCCGGTATCAAAGGCGCTCTCATTAACGAAGCTTGCGGTACCGTAGATAGGCCCAGAGCCAAGGATCCTTGGGGAAGCAGCGTCGACAGCAAGCATGCCTGTACGTAGAACAAGAAAGGGTTCGTCAGCGACATCGCCGCTAACGAGTCACCGTGCCCACTGGCGTAGGCCACACCATGCGCTGCTTTTGTAGCAATTGACGTGGCTGTCGCAGTCGATGGTCGCGCTAGGTGCGGCTGAATCGACGCAGGATTCTCGATGAGGGCGACGTCCTCCAAGGCCGGTGAAGATGGGCACTTCCATAGGATGACGCTTGATATCCGAGCTCTGTCAGCGCTGGTGCAGGCACGCGTTCCGCGATGTGATGGCGAGACAACGAACGCCGGTATCAAAGGCGCTCTCATTAACGAAGCTTGCGGTACCGTAGATAGGCCCAGAGCCAAGGATCCTTGGGGAAGCAGCGTCGACAGCAAGCATGCCTGTACGTAGAACAAGAAAGGGTTCGTCAGCGACATCGCCGCTAACGAGTCACCGTGAATGTTCGTCAGCGACATCACCGCTAACGAGTCACAATGAAGTTCATTTCATTTCATTTCATTTTATTATACCTCAAAGGCACTTCTACCGAAGTGCATTACATGAGGGGGGATAAGAATACAAACTCACATAAAAACAAACAAAAGCAAAAGTAGATTCACAAACAAATACAAATAGTAATATTTGCCGAAAAATGGCTAGGGTTAAATCGCATCAGGATGCATATCATGGTAAAAAAAAAAAAAAAAACTAATGACTAGCTACCGACATAAACATTTAGACTAACGAAAAACACTTTTGAGGTGTGCCTTGCAAAGATCGCGGAATTTAGCTGGATTATTTTCGAGAGCAATAGCCTCAGGAAGAGAATTCCAGTTATTGATGGCTAGAGAGAGCGGGGAATTTTGAAATCTTGAAACTCTTGGATATAATACCAAGAGTTTTCATTGCACGGCCAGCAACAAAAACCATATGAGCACTGAATCGCAACGCCCTATCAAGGCACCCCCACACCGATATCTATTATTTTCCTAACCAGACAGACTTCTGTGAAAGATGTTTACGTTTGAATCTTTCATTACAATTTACGTTCGATTAGAGTTGCTCCCAAAGAGTAAGTAAAATGCATAGCAGCATATTGTCTGTTTAAAGAGGGAACCTTAGTTTTGGTAGGATTTAAGAGCAAATTGTTCGCTAAAGGCCATTTCTGTACGTTATTTACGTCGTGCTGAAGAGCATTGCAAATAAGAGGAGCAGTAACATGCATAAAAATCTTAATATCATCCGCAAACAGTGAGACCTAAGCTTTCGTGACACATGATGCTATATAGTTTAAGAATATTTGAAACAGAAGATGCCCAAGAAGGGCCCTTAAGGGAGACCTTATCTTGAGCTACTCACTTTAGAATGGACACTAGAAATATGAACTTGATTCAAACGACGAGACCAATAGGTTTGAAATTAGAGAAGTTCAGGACAACAACCTTAAAACAATAATTTGTAGGACAACACCTCATTATCAATTTTATCGAACGCTTTAGACATATCAAATTTAAATAGCATCTACCTGTCCGCTGTTCGTAGAAATTGGTGCAGCAATGTATGAAAAAGAGCACAAGTTGTTTTAAATTGGTCGTCTCGTAATACACCCATATGGCAAAACAGTGAAATTTTGATAAAATAATATGCTATACGTTTAAAAATAACCTTCTCAGACACCTTTAAACTACCGCACATTAAATAAAAAAACAAAGAAAAAACAGGCCGATAAATACTGACAACGGATGAATCACCCCCCTTCAATATTGGCACGACAACCGCTCTCCTCCATCCATAGCGATTGCAACACGCCGGAGCGAAGTGACACGTTGAAAAGGTGATTTAAAACCTGTGCAAACAAGTCACCAGGACCTTAAAATATAAAACTCGGAATTCAATCTACCCCGGTAGATAACTTCGGTATAAGGTTTCTCATACCTTTCTCAATTTCATCCTTATCTACACTAAAACCCTATCAATTGCCCTAGCAGTTTACTTTTATAATAATAGGCTGAGTCATTGGCTGCTTAACTGTGTAGCATCGACTAAAATACTCTGCAAGGCGATCTGCCACCTGTGGTGTGGACGGAAGATGCTTAGTAGTTCCATCACGACTATCCCGTAATGAAAATTTATGTGCATTGGTACGAGTGTACTGTTTTGCAAACTTAAAGAAAGCAGTTACATCAAGATGCAACTGTTTATCGCGCGAGTATAATTGTTTGGCGAGGGCACGATAAATACTGAATGTAGGGTACGAGAAGCAAGAGCCTTTTTTTAAGTCTGCGGAATCTTTTTTTTTTTAAGATACATTTTTAAATCATTGAAAAACCAGTCCGGGCAAGTGGACCGTTGAGGCAACAAAAATGCTAATCGCGTCTTGCATAGCTGAAGTAAAAACTTCTGTTCCCAGTTCGGATGGAAGTACTTCGTTCCAGTCATAATGATGAAGATGTCTGTACATTCCCAGACAATGTCCTTTGGGGTAACAGTAAGTAGACGGTCTGTTCTATACGTGAAACTTTCTTGGAAGCTGTATTTGAACCTTTAGAAGTGGATTTTACCCATCCATTTGTACTGCAGGGATCGAAACAGTACTAATTGATTCGATTGGAATATTTGATAACTCTAGGTAAAAAACGCTACCCTAGAAGTTTTTGAAACTGTCAAGCTAATTCAGCCCCCAAAAATGTGTAAAATAGCAACCTACCTGCCTTCTTTGACGTGATGCAACCACATTTTTAGGAACGCCCATAGACTAATCTATTCCAGAAAGTTTAAGATTACCGAATATTTGAAATTTGTGCCTATCGAAGTTTACTTGTTTTTCCACCGTTTCAAGAGGTTCAATAAAAATTGAATGATTGCATAGCAATATAAAATGGTGGTTTCCCATGTGGTAATCGAAACCGTCAGCAGTCCTAATTTCTACCGATAAGCATTCTGAATATGATCCTGTGTCGAACCTTCGATGTTACTTAATCATAGAGTGAAGCGCAATTTGTACGCCACCACATAGTTTATGCCTCGTGCTAGAATAGTCTGTCGCGGTGGTAGAAGCTGTAGTTAGTTGTAAAGTATTCGAATTCGGAACGCCATCGCAGAACCATGCATTAAAAAAAACATTTTGTATTACATGTAGGATAAGCATAATATAATTTATAACCTTTTTCAGTCGTATATTATTATTTTGTATGTTTATTGGACATAGTTTATAAATTGTTTATCTGGGGAAGTCATCTGACCAAAAACGTTTCGAAACAGAATGGAGATCCGCAGAATGTTCATCCTGGAATGCCTTTCACAGTCCCAAGTTACCTATTACTTTGTAACGTCCAAGCGCAATATTTCTCTCGTCCCTCCCCGAGAACTTTTAAAATAATCAAATTCCTGACTGGCCGTGTGCTCTGCGTGATGAAAACAAGAGAAAATACTTTGTTAACTTGAAAGGTTAGAATATATTCTAAAGTTGGTGCTCCAGGGAATTACAAAAAGAGGGACCGTAAGCTGTTAGCAAACAAAGAGCCTAACTAAAGGAGCTCTCAATAAGAACATTTATTTGAAGGACGGGCTATTATAAGAATCAGCATTTTTACGACGTACTTTTAAAAGTAATATTTAGATGAGGGGAGGGTTGCACGAATATTGGCCTGATACCAGATTATAGGGCAATTCCCTATTCTTTGAAATGTTTGTTTCTAATAAACAATACAAATGTTCACTTGCACTTTCATCGCTAACCAGCTAACTCAGAACGCACCAGACGAGCCCTCGAAAGGAGGAATTCAAACTTTTGTATCAGCACGATCTAGCAGCGCAGGTACACCGTCAGATCCGTAACCGGTGAGCCATGCCTAAAAGAGCAACGAAAATGCTCAAATCTCTCAGTTATCTCTCAAACGCGGCAAACGGGGACGCAAATCTTTGTTCTAGTATACGGTAGGCAAACAAGGTCCGGCTTTGACAAATTTCGTAGCGCTATAGCTACGGATGGCGCCCAACAGATGAGCGAGAATAACAAGAACCCATCAGGCCACAAAGAGTCGGAAAGAAAGATGGAGTCGACGCCCAAGCGCATTTTCCCCGAGCTTATGCAAACGAGGCAACGAAACATTTTCCGCTTCACTCGGCGTTCCGGAAGGGACTTTGGAGTAGCGACGATGCAGCGGCCGGCTCGGGCGCGCGCTGTAAACAAAGGCGGCCCCGAACGGCGCCAAAGAGAAGAAGCGAGCGCGGTCCGCTGTATGCAAATGAGTCATTAATTGAAAGCAATACATACCCGGGACTCGAGTTTGTAGCGGGCTTGTTGTTTTATCGCCGGTCAAAAGAAAGTAAGCCCGCCTCTTCGTGGCTCGGTCCGACGAACATGCTCGGAGAGGCGCATGCGCTAAGCCAACTTGGCGTGAGTGCGGTCAACTATCCGGCGTTGGTTTCGCGTGTTTCGGAAAACACGGAGGAGCCGGCCGGACCGGAATTAATCGGGACTCGATGGCGTACTTTTCTGGGCCCCGAA